AAGAGACAGGCCTTGATTCTGTGCTACCACTTCCTGTGCACGATTCTGTCCAAACCAGTCATCTTGATAGAGGAATGTAACATTTAATAGGTATGGTGTGGCACCTATTAGGCTTTTTTCTTTTCAGGCCTTTTTCTATTTAGGAAACATGGCCCTGAGGGGTTACGTGCTCTCCGGCAGTTGGATGATGGGGATGTAGAATTTTTCACCATCAAGCTTTCAGGTCAAAATCTGTCTAGGTCTATACCAGCGGATCCCAGCCTTTTCCAGATGGGGACCCATTTTGACAATTCAGGAAGACTTGGTGACCCAAGGCAATTCAAAAATGGGGGGGAGAAGGGTGGGCAGAGCTAGCTGGGGAGACACTTGGCGACCCATATTTGGGTCCTGACCCATAGGTTGGGAAACCGTGGTCTATACTAACCACAGTTTCTTACCATCTAATGACCGTTGATCTCAATCAGTTTCAGTAGATCAGCGTCCCATTACCTTAGCTCCCACTAATTGGTAATTTTGTTGGCAGGAAAAAGATTAATTCGAGGCTGAGATCTCAAATACCCTATTCAAGTTTCACCAGATTAAGGATGAAAGATACTGGCAGAGCTGTTTAGGAAGCTGGCACAGTCTCTGCCTTGTCTGTTCTAAGGGCAGCGGGAGTAATTCCCAAGGCTTATATTGGCTGGGGCGATATAAAGTAGATATGCAAAGTGTTAGCCTGTTTTGAGAGGGGGGGAAAGACAGTGGGGCTGGAAGGGGGAAATTCCTCTAAGCTGGGCATACTGTCAGATAAACTGGACTGATCATGGTATCTGGAATTCTCTTTTAGTGCACCTGCCGCAAAGACATGGTGAAGATTTCCATGGATGTTTTTGTAAGGGTTCTACAACCAGAACGTTATAACTTATGGAAACAAGGGAAAGATAGTGCTATTCTGGACCACATGAAACCCACAGCTCTGACCAGCCCAGAGCTGGATGCCTGGAATGAGACAAAGGCTGAGCTGAAAGCTAAGCTGCTCCGCAGGTAAGGAGGGGATGGCATCCACTAGATGCTCAAAATTCCTAGGGCTCGTGGGTTCTCATCTATCTTGGCATTTTGCTGCATCAGTCACTGTGATAGAAGGTTCCTAAAGTAACTGGATTTTAAGGCAAGTATTGTCAAAAAGGTCCTGCTTGGGACATGTGATAGCTCAGCGTATTGATATTTCCTGGGAGGAGTTTGCAGGCAAGTAAGAAGATGGGTTTAAACTCCTCTAACAGCCCAGAGTCCAGAATCTCAATCACCATCTCCAGTGGTAGCCAGTACTTAGCATCTCTTAGACCAAGCCATTATAAGCCCATAATTCACCTGGTCCATATAGCCCATCTCAGCGATTGGTAAGGTAAGAATACAGACATGGGGAGAGATTGCTTCCTGACATTTTCGGGCAACTCATGCTTCGAATGGATTATCTTAGCTTCTCTAAACTGGAGAGAGGTTGTATTCTAATGTGTACATCAGGAGTCAGGACTCCTGTTTCTAGCTCTCTGTGACATTTTGGGCAAGTTACTTAATCTCTGGTTGGACTCTAGGACTGAGAAGAACAGAGGGCAAGAGGACCAGTAGTGATGTGGACTTCTGTCCAAAGAGAAAAGACAAAGCATAACTAAGGATCAGAGGTGTATTGGTGTAGGCTCAGCAGATTTTTTTAAAATAATTTTGATATATAATAATGTTTATTTTAAAGCATGTTTTCTATTTTATCAATTTCAATTTTCACAGTTGTGGGGAAATTATGGGTGGCTTCAGAAAACTATTTAATGATCGTAGGCATCAAGGTTCAAAAGTTAAGGATTCATAATCATGTGTTTTACTTGCCAACATAATATGTTAAAAATATACAGTCAATGTTCTTAAAATGAAACTTTCATTATCATCAACTGAAATATTTTGGTTGGTTAATGTGTGTGGTGTCATCAAGGATTATTAACATTTACCAATAAAATTCAAATCCTTCCAAACCTATCCAATCCTTCCAAACCTCTATAATGTGACAATATTAATAGTGACAATTTCCCTGAATTTCTCTAGTGTCATTCATCTAGGGCGCTTCACAAACATTAAGCCTCACTCTGGGAGGTAAAATAGTATTACACCATTCAACATGTGTAAAACTGAGGGTACGTCTAGACTACATGCCTCTGGCGACAGAGGCATGTAGATTAGGCTACCAGACATAGGAAAATGAAGCAGCGATTTAAATAATCGCCACTTCATTTAAATTTACATGGCTGCCGCGCTGAGCCGACAAACAGCTGATCAGCTGTTTGTCGGCTCAGCGCGGCAGCCATGTAAATTTAAATGAAGTGGCGATTATTTAAATCGCTGCTTCATTTTCCTATGTCTGGTAGCCTAATCTACATGCCTCTGTCGCCAGAGGCATGTAGTCTAGACGTACCCTCAGTTTTACACATGTTGAATGGTGTAATACTATTTTACCTCCCAGAGTGAGGCTTAATGTTTGTGAAGCGCCCTAGATGAATGACACTAGAGAAATTCAGGGAAATTGTCACTATTAATATTGTCACATTATAGAGGTTTGGAAGGATTGGATAGGTTTGGAAGGATTTGAATTTTATTGGTAAATGTTAATAATCCTTGATGACACCACACACATTAACCAACCAAAATATTTCAGTTGATGATAATGAAAGTTTCATTTTAAGAACATTGACTGTATATTTTTAACATATTATGTTGGCAAGTAAAACACATGATTATGAATCCTTAACTTTTGAACCTTGATGCCTACGATCATTAAATAGTTTTCTGAAGCCACCCATAATTTCCCCACAACTGTGAAAATTGAAATTGATAAAATAGAAAACATGCTTTAAAATAAACATTATTATATATCAAAATTATTTTAAAAAAATCTGCTGAGCCTACACCAATACACCTCTGATCCTTAGTTATGCTTTGTCTTTTCTCTTTGGACAGAAGTCCACATCACTACTGGTCCTCTTGCCCTCTGTTCTTCTCAGTCCTAGAGTCCAACCATCTCTGTGATCCTTGAAGCTCAGTGGCAGGACCATGTAATTAAATATGTATTGCACCCACTCTGCAGATAGAGGAATATGGTCAATCTGACAGTTCTTGACCAAAATTAAATTGACGGAAGACAAAAATATTTTCCTGAGCATACAGTGTGAATTTTAGCAGTAAGAGATTGTGCCATCTAAGACCGTTTTGGTGACACAGAAATATTGTCTTGTCTTTACTTGCATTTTTTATTATTCTCCCAGTTAATAAAACTGACAATAGAATATTATGCTATTTTAAAATTTGTATCCAGAAACTTTGTCAGAATTTATAAAGTTAAGTCCATGTCTTTTGGTTGCTTCTCTCCCCCCCCCCCCCCCCCAGTTTTTAAATATTATGGAAACACATTATTTGTAAATACAAACTTGTGTTGTCCCCATCCCAAAAAATGAGATTCCATAGAGTAAGTATGGTACCATGGAGCAGGAGGGGAAAAAAAGACTGTCTACAACAAAAATTATATCTAGCCAGTGTCGTTCACATTTTCTTCAGTCTCCTCCCCCTCTTCTAGAAGCATGGAGTCCTCTGTTTTTTGCTGCTTTTATGTCTAGTTTGGTTTCTGTATTTATCGAAAGAAAGTAATAGAGGAAGTGGAGAGAGAAAAATGACCTTTCAAGAATTTACGTGGCATTGTTTTGATGCTGGATTCCCTACAAATGTTTCAGACTTCCAGTCCACAGGTGGATGACTCCTTTCCTTCCCCACCTCAGGACACAGTCTGTTCTGTTCTATGGGGTGTAGTTAACATGAGTAAGAACCTCTGATACAGCCTAAGTAGCCACTGGACTGCTCTGGAAGGCTTAGATGCCTTCAGATCCCTAAGGAGCAGCTCAGGATTCAAACCTCTCCCCAAGCAAGCCATCACCGAATCTCGGTTGCTGATTTCTCAGGGCATGTGTACACATGGAGTTAATCAGGAACAACTTCACATGTAGACAAGACCTTAGCTATCTTTCCAAGGGATTAAAGGCTCCCAGGAGCCATGATGACTCTTATTTTCTTCAGGTAATTCTAAGGTTTTCTCCCCCAACAAGGGTGTAACCGTCAAGCTTCCTTTTCATTTATCCAATAGGAAAGTAACTGTCTTCAGAGAATCCAAGCCCTCTTTATTGAATGGAGGCTTCTGTCCTGTTGTTTCAGATCTCTGTGTTGCCCCTCAGTCCCTGCTTTCACTTTTCCCTCTGTATTTTCCTGCCCTCTGTTGCACAGTTGCATAGTCTGTGGGCTTGCTGGTGTGCTTCTCTTTTAGCTTTCGTGTGTGTGTGGTGGCCTTTATAGCAGCACCCTGCAGACCCCCTTCGGGGGCATCCTTGATTCCTTTCCTACTGCCCTTTCGCTCCATGCTAAGGACCTTTAAGCATATCGTTTCTCCTTTTTATCTGTGTTTGTTTTCCAGTCTACAGAAAAGAAGCATGTGAATGTTCAGCTTTGACTTTGAGCAGCGACAGAAGACTCATCTGTACCCTTAATGGTGGTTCTTACCAATGTGGAAAGTGTGCCCAGTTAGCAAAGTCCTAGACCTCCAGTTCAGCAACCTGCCTTTATCCCCCAGGTTTTTTGTTTTGTTTTCCTGGTGGCGTTGCTTTTCCAGAAGGAGTTTAAATTAACCCTGGCAGGGATTCCTTGTCAGGGCCTTTACTGCCCATGAGCTGTGGGGAATTGTGCTTTTCCCCAGCTTTCACCTTTTATGAATGGGGAGGTTTAGTTCATAACTATAAGCAGTACGGCACAAGTCTGCTGTCAGAAATTGAACATGAGGTATGCTTTTGGTGAAATCCTGTAAAGTGAGGTGCCACAGAGGGCAAAGCCAATATGAAGTACCATCAGGCTAAGTCTAAGACCTTGCTTCACTTGTCCAGTTAAGGTTCTCAGATTCTCTAGCTTTGACTTTTGATGGGAATGAGGTGCCTAATGTGCTTAGGCCTTTAAAAAAAATCTACTAGGTATTTGTCTGCATCTTTCAGTACCAAAAATATCAATTATCCCAAAAATTTCCAGACCTTTTATCAGAGAGGTAGCTATGTTAGTCTGTTTCAGCAAAAACAGCAAGTGGTCCAGTGGCATTTTAAATACTCTAATAAATGTGTTTAAAGGCTAACACATTTATCAGGGTATTTAAAGTGCCACTGGACTCCTTGTTGTTTTTGTAGAACTTTTATGTAGATTTAGTTCCTTGTCTTAGCAACTGCTGCATTTAGGTTTCGTATCGTAATTGGAATGAAGTATAATATTATGTTATATGTAACCTAGAAGCTCTTGTCTGCTTCTGTTAAAGAATAATTTAATAGCTTCTAAAATAATCAGTAATTGATTACAAGATTAATATGGCCTAGACACAGGTGAATGCATTTCCCTTGTTGACTGTTAGTGAACATACTTCTGGAGCCACTGTTACCTCTCTACCCAAGTAGTATCTGATGATGTTGACTTGATTTACAGAAGGCTGTAATTCTGCAGCTGTGAAATCCATCCTTTGGCAGAGCACTGTACTCCAGAATCTAAGATTTCATTTAAAAAAAAGTTTGTTGCTCATGGTTGTAAAAATAACCTTTAAAATGTGAGCTGAATGCAAACTAATGTGGTGATGTCTGCATGAGTCTACAGATATCCTGAAACAATAGCTCTGCAAGGGATAAACTGCTCTATTTATCTCAATTGGGTGTTAACTCTAAAACTGAAAGAGATGGTAATTTACATTTTATTTTCAGCTATGTACTACAGATTATTTTAGCATAAACTTCAGCTAACATCCATACTTCACAATCACAAACTTCCTTTCACTCTCCTCCTGAAGCCAAAATAAGTAACACTTGGGTTCCTATACTGATGACTCTGCGTATTTTCCTATTTAATTTAATAGAACTCTCTGTCCTTAATGTAAATTAAGTGAGTGCAGAACTTTGTTTCTTATAAAACCTTGCCTCAGTAGTGAAATCCAACTTACTAGTAAGGAGATAGGGCCTTTGTTATAGGTAGGGTCACTATATGGTGCACAGACACCTCAGTGGTTAGATCTTTCCTTGCTTTATAAGGCTGATTTTGGTGGTCTCATGAAACCCAAATTTTGTTCTTTCTCCTTATCACTTTTGCTTGCTGTATGGCATCTTGTTTTGTAGGTTGGGGACTGGCCATGCTACAAGGGGAAAATTTACATGCTAGTAATTGTTGTTTGTAATTCTCCTATCTTCATTTCCTCTCACCACTTATACTCCATTGCTATTTTATACATATGTATGTGTCTCCTAATTCTGTTTGTTGTTAGGATGCTTTTTAAATGATTTGAGGGAAAAGGAGTAGCATGTGTCTCTCTAAATCTCCTGTGCTTTATAGTCATTTTGACTTGGCTTCCTTCCTAGCAAGTGGCACTCTAATGTTTTGCTCTACTGAACTCTTGTTTTGTAGGATGGGAGATGAAGAAGAGGACAGCAAACAAAGCTACCGGTATGTAATTTCCATTTTTCCTTCCCTGTTGGCTTCCCTGTTCCCCATTAGGAAAAAGGAATAACATTATAACAGTGGCAGAAGGAATACTGAACTCTTCAGTAACAGCCTGCTGGACTGCACAGAACCCAATTCTAAGGCCCTGATGATAAGATGATGGGGCTCAGATACTAAGGGCACAAGGCATGGCATAAACAGGTAGAGCAAGAGGATGGCTCTGACATCTTTAGCAACATTTGAAACCCATTTAGTTCTGCCCCATGCTTTCTTTGGTGGGAGGAAATGAGTTAATTAACCATTTCTTCCTGCTTTCCATTCTCAAACTTCAGTGCTGTGCATTTATTGTGCTCTACTCATATAATCCAATTCTAGTCTCAACTAAACCGTATTATCTCCGTGTTTGCTTCTCTGGAAGAGAAATAGCTTGGCCTGGATTCCAAATCTACTCCTAGCTTCCTACTGTTGAATGTATCCCTGAGTTTTTAAAACTTCTTTATCCTAGTATGGGAACAGCTTCTCATTTCACTCTATCAAATCTCTTCATAATTTCGAATATCCCTGTCAGGTCATTTAATGCCGACATGTCTGACTGAGCTGAGCTCATTGTGATGCTGGATTTTAGATGGTTGTCAGTATCTACTGTATTTGCCACACTGGATTTATATTCAGAATTCACTTTAAAATAGCTTACAACTGTGAAGGTTTTTCAACAACCTGTGCAAGAAAGCAATTCTACACTACCCTCCAGGACCTTGATTACCTTTTTAATTTTTGCCTGCTTTGTTTGTCATTTGAACAGCTGTAGTTAAGGCTGCTTTATTGGAAGATGCTTTTCCTGTTCTGTGTACTGTGGAGCCACACTCCAGAATCTCTTGTGTGACTTTCTCTGTCCTTTTGTCCAAACTACCTCTCTGCTTCACCCATGCTCACATCAATTATCTCTGCAAACAAATTGCCATCTAGTGCCATTAATCTACCCACACAAAGAGCCCTGCCCCTATTTTATTTTCTTTCTTTGGTAAACAGTCACTCGTTTTTATTAAATCAGAAGATGTTTTCCTGGGTTGGCTAGATCTTTGTTATTCCAGTAATACTGTTCTTAATATTGAACACCTGGAGCTAAGGATGTTAACTAACGAGTAACTTACTAATTGAGTAGTTGATGGAATTTCCATAGACTACTTGACTAGCCCACAGGGGTTCTTGTAGGAGGAATGCGGAACTCATTGAAAGGAGGAATGCGGAACTCCGCATGCAGCCCTGGGCCAACAGGAAGTTCTGCTGACTCTGGGCTGCCCAGGGGCCTGCCAGCTTTGAAATGTACAAGAGTCCTCAGCAGAGGCTCTTGTGCATTTCAAAGCGGAAGCGCCCGCATGGAGCGTGGGGTCAGCGGGGGAGTCCCCTGCTGACCCCAGGCTCTGTGCGCTTTGAAATGCCACGCTGGAGCCTGGGATCAGCTGGGGGAGTCCCCAGCTGACCCTGGGCTCTGTGGAAATGCCGCGTGGAACCCAGGGTCAGCTGGGGACTGATCCCAGGCTCCACGCAGCATTTCCATGGAACCCAGGATCAGTTGGGGACTCCCCAACTGATCCCGGGTTCTAGCACTTTGAAATGCCATGCTGGAGCCTGGGATCAGCTGGGGAGTCCCCAACTGCTCCTGGGCTCTGCTTGGTGTTTCAAAGTGGCAGCATCACACAGTTGGGGACTCCCCAGCTGATCCCGGGCTTCACCCAGAATTTCAAAGAGGCAGCTCCACAAAGCTGATCATGGGCTCTGTGTGGCGCTGTCCCTTTGAAACACCACTGAGATGTTTCAAAGGGGCAGTGCCGCATGGAGTCCGGGGTCAGCTCCGTGCATGCTGCTGCTTTGAAACGCAGAGACTGCCACTTGGAAGTACCCTCTCTCCTACTCCCCCCGTTTGCTGCCTCTATCTGATAGAGGCGGCAAGGGGAGGAATCGACTAGTCAGCTCAGCTGTCCGATAAGCATTTGCTTATCGGATAGTCGTCTAGTTGGCTAGTCCTTAACCTCCTCACCTGGAGCTGAAAAGTCGTGTTTGATTTTTGAGTTATGTTTGATCCCAGAGCCATGGAGGGTTTTCAGGTACTGTCTGTGGGGGCTTCTTTGTTTTATCTCTGTTTGATTTCCTACTGGTGTTCATCTTCTTCTGTTAGGAGAGAGGTTTTTCAGGAGTTTTGTCTGTCCCATTCTAGTTTGTACAGCTGATATCTGTGTATTTTATGAATGTTGCTCTGTTGTTCGTCTGAGAGTCTGTTTGTTCAAGAATTCCTCCTAAACAGTAAGATCTAGGGCCACCAAAGTTGGTATGCAGCTTCCTCTTATACTAACTTAAAGCCAAGGTCAGGGTTTTGTTGTGCTAAGGAAATGGGAAGTGCTGGGAATTGAACTGTTTTCCATAACATGGAAAGTGAGGAGGCAGAGAGGAGGGATGCAATACTGAAAGTGGCCACTGGGGACAGTGAGTGCAGGGGAGGAGCTATATGAAGAGTGGCCACTGGGGGCAGCAGGGCTGGGTCTCCACTACCATGCCTGTCACCAGACCAGGAAAATAGCCCTCCCGTTCCAACTCCCCCGCCCCTGGCTTTTGGCCCCTGGTTTCTGTAGGGGCTGGAGGGAGGCAGAAGACCCCTGGTGGCTGGGGGAGAGAGAACCCTGCTGGATAGGACCTCCACCTGAGCACCTCTCAACCCTCACTCTCACTTCCTCCACCACTGCCTCTTTCCCCTCCACCCCCCTCTCCAAGGCCCTGCCCTCAGCCTGCACCCCCCTACGCTGCCAGCCCCCTGTCTTGAAGGACCCGGGCAATGCGGGGCAAGTCTTCTAGTACTGAGTAAGGATGTTAAATTATGGTTAATTTACAGTTGAGTAGTCGATGGAATCTCTGCTTGACTAGTTGATAGGCACTTCTGCATTCCTACTGGGGCTCTTGTACATTTCAAAGGAGGAATGCAGAATACCGGGTGCATCCCGGGGCCAGCAGGAAGTCCCGCTGACTCCGGGCTGCACGCAGCATGCCAACTTTGAAATGTACAAGAGTCCCCAGCGTAGCATTTCAAAGCAGAAGCGCACTCAAGGAGCCTGGGAGTGGAGGAGGAGGGGACTCAGAGTCCCCTGCTAACCCCTGACTCCACATTATGCTGCCGATTTGAAATGCCACGCAGAGCCCGGGGTCTGCTGGGGACATGCCAGCTCATCCTGGACACCACATGGCATTTCAGCAGAACCTGGGATCAGCTGGGGATTCTCCAGCTGACCTCAGGTTCTGTGCAGCATTTCCCCAGAACCTGGGGTTAGCTGGGAAGTCCCCAGCTGATCCTGGGTTCTGCGGAAATGCCACATGGAGCCCAGGATCAGCTGACCCAGGGATCCAGGCAGTGCTGCCCCTTTGAAATGCTTCCTCGGCATTTCAAAGGGGTAGTGCCACCTGGAGCCCAGGCTCACCTGTGTGGTGCTGTCCTTTTGAAGTGCCACCTCTTCTACCCCCTTTTGCTACCTCTATCTGATAGAGACAGCAAGGCAGGGAGAATCGACTAGTCGACTAGCTATCCGATAAGCATTTGCTTATCGGATAGTCGACTTGTCTTTCACATCCTTATCACTGAATAAACCTAGGCTAGTGAAGATGCTACACTGACAGGGTATTTGCATAATGGTTAATTGATTGTGGCTAAAGCTAATTGGTCAACACAACTGGATGCCAATAAACAGCAGCTGCATTCCAAAAAGTGTAATTGGATTAGAAGGTTTTATAAATGGACTGCCAATAAGAGAAGCAAGCAGAATCTGGAAGGAGAATGGTTTCTCCCTTCATCATGCTTTCTTTAAGAGGAAAAATCTTTATAAAGAGGAAATTGAATTACTGTAGAGGTTTATGTATCCAGATAGAAGCCAAACAGCCTGTGTGCGCGTGCTCTTCTGCATGCTCTCCTGTTCACCTCTCTATCATTTCCTTTCCCACAATGCTTGCTCTGCAATGTGCAGGCTGGTTTTGACCCCTTATCTAGTATTGTGCAGTGCTAGAGCTTTTCCAGAGATGGCGCCACTTCATCTGAAATTTATTTAAATTGATAACTCTGGCAGAATATCTAGGTAGCTTTTAAAAAACAGTATCTGATCCTGCTCTGTGCTTTCCTGCATACTATAATCAGCCTGTCTACTTTACAGAGAACTGAGTGTTGTGGGAAATTCTCTGCTCATTTGATATGAGGGTCCTAAAATACTTCAGTTGAAATAATTTTACAGGTAGTTGGCTTCTTAACTACTGCTCTACCTCAGAGCCAATCTTCCTAAATCAATTTCACTCACTTCCTTCGACTTAAGCTTCAGGAAACTCAGCATGGTCTGGTAGTCAGAATTCTTGGGTTCTTTTCTCTGAACTGTGACTGAGTTATTGGCCTTCAACAAGGTCACTTAACCTCTGTGTGTACATTGGAAATGATACTCACTTTCCTGGTGTGTTGTGAATGTTAATGTCGGCACAGAGCACTTTACGAATGGTAAGTGTTATTCCTTTCCTTCTTTCTCTTTGTTCCCCATACACATCTTGCTCTGTGAGAGCCTACTTTGGAGCATTGAAGCCCCTCAGTTGACCTTGGCTTTTGTAAGAGACCTGCCTACCTTTGTCCACCCTGTTCATTGCTTCCCCGATTATTCAAAAATCACTCTGATGCACATTTCAAGCTGTTTAACACGTAATGTGTTATTTGATCCAGTGACCTTACTTCCCAATATGTTTACAACTCTTGGACTGAAGTAATTCTGCCTGAATACCCCTGCGTCTCTTACCTGGTGAAGTTTATCTTGTTCTGTGAGTTTGTCCAAATACTTCACGGTTCAAACTTAAGTCATATTGAAATAAATCTTTTTTCAAAAGAGACAAATGCTCCCTTTTTGGCTTTTCCATTCTTTCCAAATCGTTTTCAAACACCATAATCAGCTAGGGACTCCACAACCTGATTTCTCCAAAGCAGCGTTCTAATGGGAAGATCACCTTCATTTCCAAGCCTGCGATGGGGGGTGGGGTCGGTGGGGAGAATGGGCCTAGGGCTGCTGCTACTGCTCTATGGGCTGCCAGAGGAAAGAGATGGCGCTGAAGACTGGCTACCCCCAGCGCACCCCTTCTGCCTGAGGCCCCCCTTTTCCAGGAGCATAGAACCCTCACCCTCACCCCTCCCACCCAGGGTGCCCTGTAAGTCAGTTGTCCCCCCCGCTGCCCTTTGCTTCCTTTTAACCAGATTTCACAGACAGTCTGACCATTTCTAATACTGGAAATAGATCCAGGTAGGTAACACAGTCTCTTTCTTCTAGTAACATGAACACATCTACTTGTAACGCCAGGAATGACGTTTCGTCAGATGGGAGTGCTCTCTGTTTCTCCATGTTTATAGCCCTGCAGCTTCAGAAGGAGGGAGCAGAGCACTGTGAATCAGTTATTGCATCCAGTAGTTAAAGCTTTACAGCCTATTGCAACCTTTGTGCTATACTGCTAATGGGAGCAGAACCCATCCTTTCATACAAATAGCTTCGAAAACTTGATTCTGCTTTACCAGCTACAGAAGATTTAACTTCTAACAGGATTGTGTTCATTTCTCTCCCCTCTGAGGAGGTAGCAAGTTTTTAGGATCTTTGTGAGGAGAAAAGCTGATCCTTCTGGGTTGAGCTGCATGTTCTGGTTAATGAGCGTCTTGCAGGTGTGAAGTTAACATCTATACTTAGATGGTGGCCATATGGTTAGAGTCTAGCAATTATAAATTACTGTGCATGTGGATCAACTTTCTTCTGTGTTAATCATTCATTATTTCTCAAGATTTTTTTTTTCTCCTTATTTGATTTGTTGCCTCATTAAGGGCTCTGTTAACTTCATTCTATTCCAAATCTAATTAGCAATTGAGTTTCTGGACAGGTTCGGAGGATGTGAAGCTGGATTCAGGCTCTCGTAGCATAGAGTCTTGGGCAGATGAGTTGTCATAGATGACATTGCGTTCCTTTGTAATGTGCTGGCAGATGCAATGGCATGGAATGGGGACACCATATGGAAGCTGCTACTTTTGAAAATCTCTGCATGCTAAAAATGATGAAAATCACAGCTCTTTGAATCAGTCTCTGCTGATAAAGGTTTTGTTAGGCTCAGACTCAGGGTTCAGAGATCTATTTTAGATGCTATTTTAAAAACTAAATGGAATGTGGCTCTTAAACTTCAGAGACTCCGTGGTTTCCTGTCCCCTCGCCCCTCACAGTCTCTGATTGCAATCCTCTCCCTCCTGGACTTCATGAACAGGCCATGTCACACTCAGGGTGTTGTCTCCACTAGGCCATCAGTGTCAGCTTGATACTTGATAGCTAACGTGCTTCTTTAGTTTGCTTCTCCATCACCCTTGAACCCTGTCAGTTGTCCTGCTTTTGGATCAGGTTTCTCAAAAAGGTATAGATTGTCTGTGTTGACGTGCCCTAGGCTGTCTGTGCCTTGCTTTTGAATATATTGGCAGTGGTTGGTAGTGCCTGACAGCTGGATTATGTTCCTTTGCAGAATACTCTGATTTCTGTAAGGAGGCAGACAGACATCTAGAAAGAAAAGAAAAGAAAAAGTGGACTGCAGGCAAAGAACAAAATATGGCCCATTTTCCTCTACTTCCATAGAAAATGTGCAGAATTTGTGCAAAAAAGTTAGATTTAAAATGTGGTTTAAAATTACTGTAACTACGTAGCATCAGTTTACATTAATAACGGTGAAAGCTTTCTTGGGGAGCCTTAGAGACTCCTCAAATTAATTGTCTTTCACGGCTCCTGGGAATGAATTTAGATGTTGTCAGGCTTACCTATTCAATTTTAAATGTCTGCTCTATTGTCTGCTCTATTTTAAATGTCTGCATAGGCTGTAGTTAGCCTTTCTGTGTTTGCTCTCCCAGGAAGATTGTTTGCTATATTGAGCCCTTTGGAAGATGGTAATCATTTATGAACTGAAGGCTGTTTCTTTATGTGAAACATTATTTTTGCCCCTCCAGGTCTCACAGAAAAAGAAGTCAACCTAGAAGGCATAAAACAGAAGATCAGAAGTCTCTTGGGGAAGTCATAGCTATGGAGACTGCCCTGGAAGAAGTCAAAATGAAGGAGGAGTTGAAAAGAGGGCCAGACCTAGATGAAGAGGAGAGAAGCAAAGTGACTGAGGGGGGAGAAGGTAAGTATTCACTGATGGCATATTGTTTAAACACAGAACAGGGACAAACTGTCTCCAGAATGCATTTGTAAGTAACGTATCTAGCGTTGCTTATTTTTGAACAATCTGCGGGGTCCTTCGCATTATTAAGTCTGTGCTTTTTGAAGTACGTCGTCATGTGCAGAAGCAATTGATTTTTCCCTCTAAGAATGCTGGCCAAATAGCATTCTTGGCAGTGCGAGGGAGTTTTACTAGATCTGTTGGTTTTGTAAAAATATGCATTATAGGATGAATATTTTTTGCATAAAGGAATGACTCGATACACTTTTCCTGTGAAAAGGAATGGTTTGTGCAATTCCATGGATATTCGATACCCCCGAGGCTGCAAATAAAGCTGATCTGTGCCATGAGAGTGAGGGCAGACATTTGAGCTTCTTTTTTCCTCCAGTCCATCTGGTGGAGGGGAAAGATTAGATTTCTCTCTGAATAGCTCAGCTAGCACAAGTCCCTGGGATCCTCCCAGATCCAACTTCGCTTCAGGAGAGAAAGTGTTATCTAGTCAGGGAACTGGGAGTCAGGAAAAGGGCTGCTTTCCCCAGTTCTGATATTCAGTCTCTGAGAGTGTTTTGTTGGCAAATCTCTTAACCTCGCTCTGGCTGCTTTTTACACAGCCATTCAGTGGATGTGTTATTTATTAGCCTTGCAGAATTATTGTGTGAGAAGTTTTTTAAAAGTGCTTTAAAAGCCTTGGCTTTGAGGCACCATGTCGAGGAGAAAGTATATTGAAGGTCTGGCACGGTGTGTGCCTTGTTGAATGATGCGTTTCTCTTTAGATCACGTGATATGTGTTGATGCACACTGTTGGAGAACAGTGTTCCCCCTAAGGTTTTCCACCCCTGAGCAGAGTGAGTTTTGTCTTGTGCACCAATATTGAGGTCATGTGCACTTGTTCAGATGTGTGGCTCCGTGGCACCTCCCAGTTACTTACAAATACTATATTCATATGTTTAAATGTTATGGAATAAAGATACTAAAACAGCCTTTCCCAGTCACAAAGAATAGAAAGAGCTGTTAAGTCAGAACTTTTACCCAAGCATCCTTATAATTGTGGCTGACCCTAAGTGCCAATGTACTGTGTCATGCTTTAAGTTACAGGTAAGGTAAAAAGACCCACCCACACGCATACCTGCAAAGTTTGAACAATAAGCTGTTTTTCTTAAAGGCCAGTGCTACGTTGCTACACAACATCAGTAATAAATAGTTGCACAAATCACAAGAAATCAAACCTCAGGAGAAAGATTTCAGGTATTTTTGTCCCCAGCACCCATCAATTTTTAGGCAGCGCTATTCTTCCCCTCAACCAGCACAGGGTGTCTTCAGCTCCAACTAATGGCTTGGCACAGTGGGGTTATGAAATGCACAAGGGATGAACTAGCAGGAGAAGAAGACAGGGAAGGCGGCATGTGTTTACAGCATTCTTTCCATTAACATTTGAGGGCCAGCTCAACACATTTTAGGGATTAAGTTTCAAAGCAAACCTGGGACTAGACAGCACACAGGAGAGACAGAGGCAGCAGGGTCCCTGCCCCCAAGGAGCTTAGAACATCTGTTGATTATGATTTATTTTTGCTACTAGGCTCCCTTGTATCTTCCAGCCCTTAGTGTTGGGCCACTCACTGCCAGTCCAGCCCCATGTCCCGATCTCCCTGCCCCGGGCCAAAGGATGAGCTGGCAGCTACTGTCTCGGGGGAGTGTCTGTGGCAGGGGGCAGCCAGGGGCGAGGCCAGAAACTGGCAGCTCAATCTGGAGTGGGCAGCACCACGTGAACGCGCTAGCTCTGGAGTATGGGTGAGGCACTGACTGCTCTCACCTGTCTCTGGCAGGTTGCACAGCATGAACTCCTTGGCCACTGCCACGTCCCACTCCCAGGTCACAGCCAACAGCAGCAGAAACAGGAGGTGGCTTCCTGCTGTAGCTATGACAGCTCTGGGTGTCAGAGCAGCTGCCACCTGCCATGCAGCTCCGGTCCCGGCTGGAGCTGCCGAAACAGCCACTGCCCACCACACGGCCCTGGCCCTGACCAGGGCCACCAGAACAGCTGCTGCATGCCACATTGCTCTGGCTCCAATTTGGGCTGGTGGGACAGCTGGCATCTGCTACGTGGCTCTGGCAGCAGCCAGGGCCACTGGATCAGGTGCTGCCCTCTACGTGGCTCTGGCTCTGGCCCCATCTTGGGTCCCCGGAACAGCTGCCACCCGGGCCCTTTCTCTTGCCACTAAAGCACTTTGTCTCAGCGCTGTATGGAGTGTGGCAGTTCGTGCTGCAGGTGAGCTTTTCCTTCACTTGCCTTTGAGGAACTGTTAAAGCACTCAACAAACATTAATGAATTCATCTTCATATTATGTATATCCCATTATGATTCCCAATTAAATTTGGGGGAAACTGAGGCAGCAGAGCTGGCCCTTTCTCTTGCCACTAAAGCACTTTGTCTCAGCGCTGTATGGAGTGTGGCAGTTCGTGCTGCAGGTGAGCTTTTCCTTCACTTGCCTTTGAGGAACTGTTAAAGCACTCAACAAACATTAATGAATTCATCTTCATATTATGTATATCCCATTATGATTCCCAATTAAATTTGGGGGAAACTGAGGCAGCAGAGCTTTAAACGTCTTGGTGAGTGGTGTCACACAGGTAGTCTGTGAAAGACCTGTTTCCTGATGTAGTCCCATGCTCTGTCAACTAGACAGCACTTCCTCCTGCTGCGAGGAAGATAAGAAAGGTAGGATATTGGCATATGGAGAGAGAGCAGCACAGCATGAATAGGTACTTTCCATCACTCCATCTTGAAAATGCCAACAGTGCATTAAACCATACACTTGGCTCATGTACAAATGTAACAGTTACTGCTTGTTAGTAAATGGCTTGAATAAGCTGATGCCTCATGGGAGGCTGGATATAAGTGACAGGGACAGATCTGAGATTCTTACACTAGAGAGGAGAGGAGAGAAAGAATGGCTGTGTTCTAGTTAAACAGATTTTTTTAAATCACACACTTATCTCTGGTGTTTAAAACGACTAGTTTAGAAACAGCAAACGGCATTTCCGGCACTGTTGCAGAAAAGGTGACAAGCAGCTTGTCGTCTTTGCAGTTTGTGGGACACTGTACTGATAACTGTTTTCAGCAGTGGGGTAAGTATCTTAATGCAGATTCTTAGGGCTTTAAACACATCTGATTATGCAGTTCTCTTGCATGGCATGGTCTGCATTCTCATCCTCAGGCTTCATACAGATTTCAACTAAATTCAGTTTTCCTTTGTTTACTGTTGAAGTCTGTATGGAGTATGGAGGTGAGCACCTGGTTGACCTGAGCAATTAGTTGTATATTTTCTCCCCTTTTTCCTTTATCCTCCTCCCCACTCGTGCTTCCTCATTTTGCTTTGATTTTTATTCTGGTTATAAAGGGATTTTCCACTTAGAAAAGAGGAGCAAAGCGAGTTGGGCGGGGGGGAGAGTAGGATTCTTCAGAGATCACTGGCAGCTTTCAAGAAATAAGTCTGTTTCATGTTGTTGATTTGGACTTCTTGAATATTAATAGCTGTGGTTTTAAGGGTTTCTCACCCAGAAACTTGACAGTTTTTTCTCTTTGCTTTTTATGACTAAGCTTTATGTTTGTAATTTATCATTTCAGTATCAATGCGTTCAGAATTTCTTAGTAGATTTCCTTGTGTCTGGAAGTTATGGAGAGAGTCTTTCAGCTCTGCTCCTCTCTCTAAATGAGTTAGATTGAATGTAATGTGTCTGCCAACAGGTGCTGTCTGCCATGTTGTGCATGTTAACTGTGCTGCACGGCTGGCACGTTGACTCCTGTGGTTTACGGGAGGGCTCCGTCTTTTCACATGGAAATAAGCAATGAGACCCTAAGTGTGAAGAGAATAGCTATGTATTTTATTGTTCACCACTTTGTGTCATCATCTTTAACTGCAACCATATTAATCCTAAGGCATGTTTCATATATAATAAACTGATTAGACAACCCCGCACTACCTGAATGCTATAGTTCAGTCAAGGATACAGTAGACATATCATCTTGAATTATTTTATTGTTGGTAGGACATTACTGTGAGCGTCACCCTATTTTCCTCCAGCATTGTTTGGGGGTGCCTAAATAAAGTTCCTAGGACAACATGGTCCTGTCAAAGTGAAACACAATCCTGTCTTGATACCAAATCAAAATTATAAGGTAGTGCTGACCAAGAAGATGTTTCAGATCACTTACTAGCATCCTTTTGGACAGACACTCCTGCTAGAATGAGAGCTGTTCTTGTATCGGATTTCATGCTAGCTATGACTTGCTCCTTAGAGAGTCAGCTGTGCTTTATTTGACTGCAGGTGGCTGATGGGTGTTCCTTTCCCATTGTGCTGAGTGTGCCTTTCTTGTGTAACTTCCAGCTTGTGTTAGCTTGCAAGTTTAACCCCGTTGGGTTCCCCCACAAATAATTTGAAGAGTGTAATAATAAAGGGTGGAGAGGAATGTTTTATGGTGTGGACTCCACAGCAAGACATAATGAATTGGAGTTAAGAAAGTGAAAATGAAGCTTAGAATTAATGGGATGTGATGATGAAATAGTCTTCAAGACTCCTAGAAAGTCTTTTCACACTGTTCTGGTCTATTATGGTTTTATGATTGCTCTGTTGCTAGATTGACATGTCCATGTTACAGTTCTTTAAATTGTATCTTTAACAACATAAAAAGCTTTCAGCTATAGCTAGGCCTGAATTGCTGCTGTTAATGTCTGTCTGGAGTCTTCTGTGCCAGTGCAGATATTTGGGCTTATAGTTGTTTCTGAGTAACAGATGAAGTCAGTATTCTGCAGTGTGTTCAGATTTGGATGCCTAAAGTTAGACTCCCATGTAAGCAGGTTGATTTTTTTTCCGGAACTACAAAGCGCCTGTAATTTCCATTGAAATTGGGGTACGTTTTCTACCTGTCTCTGCCCCAACCAGCTCCCTTTCCTCCCTTCTGAAAATGGCACTACTATGGATTTTTCAGTCCTCATGTCTTCTTGCTTTGCTATTTGGATTCACCTTCAATGAATGAATAGCTCAGGGTTTCCCAATCTCTAACCCATCATAGTGAAAAGATAGTGATTTAAAAATACAGCTCTCTTCTACATCACTAAGTAGACCTGATTAACAGATTTTCCCCTTCAGAACTCCCAATTCCTTGATTTCTGGTTTTGGATATTTACCACCTTTTGCAAATACATTTGTAAGCTACATTCTTTGTTGTCTTAACATTTAAACTTTTAAATATAGGCCTGAATACCAGCTGCTGTCAAATTAGCCTGTTTGGAAGTCAACAAAGCTATTGAATGACTTTCATTTTGTTGCTAGTGTAAAGAATTCTCTCAGTGTATAGAGAGTAAACACGATCTCTTCTTGTGTGACTGAGGAGAAATCCAATTTGACTTTCATTCCATGTGTTTGTTTCTCTAAGGAAATTCAGTATTCCTTTCTGTGTGTGATACTGCAGACCAGTTTATCTGAAGTGCTGCTTACACAAATACAACACCTACTATTTGGGCTGGCCTCGTTGCCATTTCTATAAATTAGTGTAAATAAGACCCTCAGAACATGCGCTCCTGGGAAATGTCCAGATTTAGATGTCCACTTAAGACGTCAGCAGGGATTCTTATAGCTTCATCGTACTCTGGGTTTAATCCTTTTTACAGAGTATCACATTATTCAGTGGCAGCTTATCTGATTTTCTGCAGCAGGTTAAGCCTGGTCTGTGGGTTTTGCTACTCTTATAAATGGCAGTTTCTGAGCGGGAGAGATGGTTGGTAACCTTCGTTATTAGAGTAACATTTTCTCCCTCTCCATCTCATTTCTGTGTTGTGGTTTTCACCCTCCCTTCCCCATCCTATTAGTATGGAGAGTGACCTTTTGTGACAGAGTCATCCAGTCCTAGCAGCTCTAGTTGAAAAACAATCTTTTATTCAACAAATTGTGGGCTGGCATCTGTCTATGGACCATCTATTATTTACTTTCCTTTGAGAGGACTGATAGCTCTATTCATGAAGTGTGGGGAGGGCTGGACATAGGGAACATAATTCATTGCATATGTAATAAGAGAAACAGTCAAGATATCTTCCATCGTGACCTGGAGACACTCACCAAAGCCCAGGAGACATTTTAATCATGACTCTTCTGGAATGCTCTGAAATCAAATTGGCCTAATCATTTTACTGGATTATATTGGGAGGAAAGGTGGGGGGAGAGGCAAGAAGGTCTCAGTTTTATGGGTGGTCTCCATCTACGTAGAAAAATATTGCAGCTCGTTGCCCAAGGAATTTGTGCGCTGCCATTGCTTTGTAAGAGAGATATGACAGTATGTAGATATAATGAAAACCGGCTTCCCATGTGTTCCAGCTTCCCACTGTTCCACTCAACCCCTGCACTGCTGCTTCTCTATCAGTGGGGGCGGGGAGGCTTTCTCCATGGGAACTGGTACTCTTTAAAAGCCGCCCCCCCCATTCTGCTGCCTCTGTGGGAGGTGAGAGGAGGATGGAGCAAGCAGCTCCACGGGAGCCAGCATACGCAGGGAGCTAGCTTAAAAGCTGTTTCCCCATGAGCACCAGATCCCGTGCGCCCCTGCTGCCTCTGATGCAGAGGCAGCAGTAGGGGTTTGTGTGCGTGCGTGCATGTAGTCATTAGGATTAACTGATAACCCCGGGCTTACCGATTCATCATGTAAATGACTACATGCCAACATCCCTAGGTTGGACATTAGGAAAAACTTCCTGTCAGGGTGGTTAACCACTAGAATAAATTCCTAGGGTGGTTATAGAATCTCTGTTACTGGAGATTTTTAAGAGCAGGTTAGACAAACACTTGCCAAGTCTAGAAGGTGCTTGGTCCTGCCTTGAGGGCAGGGGACTGGACTTGATGACCTCTTATGGTTCTTTGCAGTTCTATGATTCTGTGTTCAGTGCCTGATTTCATATGCTTCCTTAAGGCTTTCCTGACATTGCTACATGTCTTCTGCTAGTCTTCCCTTCCCCACTGAAGAGTAAAGCAAATGAGAAACCATGTGAAACAGCTAGCGAGGGAAATGTGTAAAACTGTGTTTAATCTTCTATTGCAGTGCTGTAACTCAGGCAAGCTGGGTTCCAGGGTCAGAATTCCAGTTACCTTCACAACCCTGTTTCTGCCTGGGCTGGTGACTGGTGGTGTGTAAATCACATATGTTAATGCAATATGCATATGAACCTAGGAGCTCTCCTCAGTTTCTGGTGGACAGGTGTCTTCCATTCCACACAGCATTCATGTTGGTAGTCTCAGCAGGCAGGACAAAGATTGACAAAATGAAGTTCTGATTTCTATAGCCAGTTCTTGCACGTCAGAGCTGAGGGACAGCATGATGTATCCTGCCTTGCCAATGCTTGTGTTTCAGCTGTTCCAAAGACGGTGGGGTTTCTACTGCCTGTCCTATTAATTCAGTGCTTTGTGTCCAACCTTAAACAGCCTTGTACATGGCGGAAGGTGAAATATGTCCTGGCATTTCAGCATGTGACATTGATTCTTGCCCATTTCTTTAACAGGAGACACCAAGGTAAAAGGCCGTCCTCCAAAAGTAAAAGGTGAGAGAAAGAAGAAGCACTCTCATCATCAGCATCACCACCATCACAGTCACCACCTGCAGCCACCTCAGCCTCCTCTGCAGCCACAGCAGCAGCCGCCACCACCTCCACAGCCGCAGCAGCCACCTGCAGAGGAAGAGGCACCAGCAGCAAGGCCACTGATTCCCGTAGCAGCACCAGCATCAGCCACAGCAGAGAAGAGCTTACCCTCTGTTCCCCTCAACGTCGTCCAGCCATCAGAGGTGCCAAGCGAGGAGGAAGACTTTAAGCCCCGACCCATTATTCCCATGCTTTATGTGGTTCCACGGACCAAAAAGGTGGTATTTGAAAAGGAGCGCATGTCCTGCCAGCAGGCCTTTGAGCAGTTTGCCACACAAAAAGGCCAGGTTTGGCGGGAGCAGACGGTCCCTTTGGAGCTCACAGTGAAGGAGGAGGAGAGCGGAGAAGCAGAAAATGCAGATGTTGCCACTGAGGTCAATGACTTACAGGTATGTGTCCGAAGGAGAGCTAACACTTGCTGCTGCTGTAACCGTTGACTATCAGGATAACAATAAATATTACTTCCAAGGAAAGTCCTGAGGGCACAGTAATAGGCATCATGGGATCTGAGCTAGAGTTCTGTCATCCTGTGAAGCAGAGGTTCTCGATCAGGGGTATATGCACCTCTAGGGTTACACCGAGGTCTTCTAGGTGATCTATCATCTCATCTACGTATTTGCCTAGTTTTCACAACAGGCTATGTAAAAAGCACTAGCAGTGTCAGTGCAATCTAAAATTTTATACAATTGTTTATATCGCTCTGTGCTGTACACTGAAGCATACTATTTATACTCCAATTCATTTATTTTATAATTTTCTGGTAAAAATGAGAGAGTTGGCAATTTTCCAGTAATATTGGCTATGACTAGGGATGTTAACAGATGCTTATTTTTGTAAACGTGTAACCACTGCATTTGTTAGCAGTTACACATTTATATGCAGGGGAGCAGTCCTTGAAAGCCGGCTTCCCGCATGTATCGGCTCCTGCATGTTTCCCTCCCATGCTGCTGTCTCTGCACAGAAGCAGCAGTGGGGACGGGGCAGGGGTGGAGGCTGCGTGTAACCGTTAGGATTAATCAATGAGCCCAGGCTTATCGGTTAATCATATTAACGGGTACACACTAGCATCCCTAGCTATGAAACTCTGTATTTTTATGTCCGATTTTGTAAGCAAGTAGTTCTTAAGTGAGATGAAGCTTGAGGGTACATAGGACAAATCAGACTCCTTAAAGGGGTACAGTCTGGAAAGGTTGAGAGCTACTACTTCGGAAAACTTTTTCCGACCATGTGAGTTCTCCTTCTTTTTCTCCCAGAAATCTGACTTTGCTGTATCTATTTGAGGTGAGAGGACTGTATTATATACTGCAACAAAATACAGTGTTCTGTTGTGTGTATCTTGTTTTATTGTATAGTTATGGAATATACTGTGTCCATTTATGCCTTTAGAGAGTGTATGTTTTCCAATGTCTAATATTGTGTAGAACGTCAAATGCTTATAGGGACTTACACTTGTATATGGGATATAGCTGCAAGAACTGTTGTACTGAGATGCTCTGGAAGATTGTTTGGCTCAATAGAACTTTACTCCAGCAAGATTTAATTCAGCTTTGCAGTGGCCTTTGTATGATGAAAAGTGGTGCACTGAACCTAAATCTAGGCTACAGAAATGCTGGCTGGAAGAGGAAAATGCTTGTAAGAACTTGCTGAGACTCTCTCCTCCACCCATTCTTCCCTCCTCCCCATTTTCCAAGGAGCTGTTAAGCCTTGGATCCTGTTTGACTCAACCCTGAGTCTAGGATGATCAGGAGGTATCAGAGGCATTCAAGCTGCCACCTTCAGCTTGCTAGGAAAATCTGCCCTTTTTTCCTGAATAAGGAGCTTGTCATAATATCACAATATCACAGGCCCTGTCTACACTAGAAAAATCTATCAGTGGTCTTTCAGTATTGGTTTTATCCCCAATTGCGTAGCTGTCCATGTGAGAACTTCCACTTTGGTAATGCAGCACTGGGTTAAAGACACATGCAATTTTGCTGCCATGCTGTGCTGATTGTGGTGCAAGGCCCGTTAGGAATGTACCAGAGTTCCCAGCACTATCATCTGTTGTCGTGCTATATTGGGAAGTGTTTGCTAGTTATTGTGGGATGCCACTGAGGGAAGGGAGGAGTTAAACTCCCATATTCTTTTTGAAACTCTGCTAATTGGCTATGGGGTATCCCATTAGTTTCCTCATTACTAGGATTATTTCCAAAGATTTTGGACCACGTAGGTTAGCTTAATACTCTTGATTGTGTCTCCTTGCCCTTTGGAGAAAGTTTATGCTACAGGTTAGGAAAAGTAAGTTAAGTGCAACGCAGGCAACTGCTGAGATGCAGTGGATTGTTTTCCAGGACTTCACGCCGAGTGCCTGGAGACCAAAAGAATGCTCCCTTGGAGCCACCTGTCTATAAGGGCGCGAAGTTCATTTCTAGGGTTTATTCCTGAAAGTTTCCCATGGTGGAGAAGGATGCTTTGAGCCATGGGCAGAGTGGTGGGACCAGAATGCGCTCATGATGGAGGATGTGCAGGAAGAAGAGAGACTTTCCTGGACTTCTGTGCTGAGCTCTCCCTGACATTTCAGCACTAGAATGAGATTCTCTGCCAGCCTGGAGCAATGAGCAGTGATAGCAGTGTGCAAGTTAGCTATCTCCAGTTACCAGTCAGTTAGGAATCCATGTGAGGTCCTTAAGTCCACTGTAGGCACTCTTGTGAAAAAAGTTCACAATACCATGCACTGCATGAGGTGTGTGGTCTGCGTGCAGGACCGTTATTCCTTTGTTGTACCAGCACGTTGATGAAAACCAGTTGCTATCTCAGCAAAGCCTTAGAGCACTTTAACAAGAAGTAACAGCTCTTCTGTGATGCAGGTCATGGTATATCATTGTAGTCAGTTCATGTGTATGTTGGCTGGCCTGGGAAGGTGCCAGCGATTCTCAGACTTCTCTGTTTTCCACAAAGTCCAAAACTTAGACCTCTGTTCTCCCTCGAATTGCATTAACGTTAGTGAAATGACTGTCCCTACTTCTGTTCTGAATCTGGGCTTCCCGAGTTTATGAAAATAAATCCTCAAGGAAGTGGAAGACTCAGCCACACCCTGAGCAAATGGAGTGTACCAGCGGAGTCAGTGGTAGACTGAAGGCCACCCTGTAATAAGTGTCTTTAAACTTTTATATTGCCTCTGCTTGTTATGTTTTGCACAATATATATGAAAGATATTTAAAGATTCCTGGAATAGGTAGTCCTAGACACTTGCATCAGGCTGTACAGATATGGAGGCAAGAACTACTGTTATCAGAGTAGCTAGCCAGAGGGCTACTTGGATCAGGGATGTTCTGTGCACCTATTCTGGAAACTTGGCAAAGGCTTAGATTTCATTGCCGGAATGTGTGTGTGTACCGGGGTTAGATTATTTTGTAGCCTCTTGGGGCTTGTCTTCACTACACGGAAGATTGCTGCTGCTGCAGTCGATCTTCTAGAGTTTGGTTTAGTGAGTCTAGCTAAGACTCGCTAAGTTGTACTCAGAGGGTGTCCTCACCAGCAGCCAGTATTCCTCCTTTTGCCAGGAGTAAGGGAAGCTAATGCAATCGTTTGCTCCTGTTGGCCTCTCGGTGTCAGGTCACTGCCAAGCTCAGCTTATGGTAAGCTGACTCCAGCTACATTGCATACCTTAACCTGAGTCTACCAGGTATAGTGTAGACCTGACGTTGGGCTTTAAAGCTGGAAGGGACCATCATGATTATCTAGTCTGATCTGCATATTGCAGGCTGCAGAACCTTACCCTGTGATAGGCCTGAATTACTGAAGTCTTTAAGTGAAGTGAAATCAGTGATCGACGTTGCTTTTCAGTTGCATTGTGTTCTAGGCAAATACAGGTAAAATGGCCATTATGTTTTTCCAATGTAATAGTGCAGCAACTAAGAATGTTAGTGTACAGTTGTTTAAACGCTTAACCAATAAGCCTGGGCTTGTTGGTTAATCCAAAAGACTGCATGCTCACACCTCACCACTTGCTGCCTCTGTCTCAGTAGCAGCAAGCAAGGGAGGGCGTGGGAGGAAGCTGAGAGCCAGTGCCTATGGGGAACTGGCTTTTAAGCCAGATCCCACTGTGTGCTGGTTCCTGTGGCGCTACTGAGGCAGCAGCACAGGGAACATGTGGAATTCGTTACACATGGAAAGCTGGCTTTCAGGCCAGCCCCCTGCGTGTATCGGCTCCCACAGAGAACCAATTTTTAAACCGGCTCCCCTCACAAACCAGCTCCACCTGCTTATACAGAGGCAGCAGTGCAGGGTCCCAGGGGGCTCCCCAGGAGTGGGGCTGGGAACCAGGAGTGTGCTGGCTAACGGCCCCACCCCTGGGAGAAGCATTTTAGTAACCGTGTAACCACTAAAAATTATTGCAGCTATATGATTACTGAAATAAGCCATATCTAACATCCCTAGCGAAACTAGAGCAGATCTGATGCCCCAAAATAAACATACAGAGACATACACACTTTGAATGCTTTGTGAGGTAAACCTGACACTTTTTTTCATAGTTAATACATAATATCGTTTGCAAATGTTCTTGTCTTAAGTGAAAAGTCTCGATGCACCTGAGACCACGAACTGGGATGAAGGGAACTTTCCAATAGGGGATATTTTCAGTTTTTTAAAATGCAGGATATTGAGCAAAAACAGGGAGTCCTATAGCAAGAAGAGCTTGAGGACACATCCCTTCCATAAGCCTTTTATGCCCTCGTATAAATTCCTATATCTGTGAATTGCGAGAGAAGGTTAGGGAATTACATGAGACAAATTCCTGCCCTTGTGTGGGTCATCATATGCTGGGGAAACCGAACAAGTCCGACGAGTCACAACTTTTTGCTTTGCAACGGGTAAACTTACTGCAACTCCATCAGTTTAACAGATGCGTTGCCTTTGGCTTTGTGTCTTAGAGAAGGGGTGGTGTTAGTTTGGTGTCTTTGTGGACTTCTTGCCTATTGGTCACAGCTGCCAATAGTTAAGCAACGTAAAAGGGTAAAACAGTGAGAGGGTGCCAGTAATTATAAATAACCCTTCACACAGGCTTTGCAGTACAGCAGAGTTTTGATGTCTCTCTTATCCTTGCTTTGAGCTATAAAATCTGATCAGTTGTGCAGTCTGTCCCAAATAGTGAGCAGGCTGCTTATTGTCCTCCCCTATTGTCTTCTGCATAGTCCTGTCCAGGAGCATTTTTGTGATGTGGTTTTGGGAGGTGGCTGGGAAGTCAGGGATAACTTGTCAATGACAAATACAGTAACTACCCTTAACCTATTGCAGGCTGCCCTACCCCTGGATGATATCACCTTGAGGAGGATTCCCAAAAGGGAGCGAAGGGAAATGTTCAAGAGAGTTAGCGGCAAGCCGGAGAGATACGCCGCGGCTTTATTTTCCCGTATGGTTCCCCCTGATAAGCTGAGGGAATGGCGAGGCACTGTTAGCTATCATGGGGGTAGAGGGAAATGTGCTTTGCCATGCAATGTGGTGGCCCGGTTAAAACACCTCCTGTATAAGTGTTTCTCAGATATAGTGGCTGCGGACTGGAGGAAGATCAGGGGTAAAATCAACAAGTTGCTGGAGCTGTGATGAGCTGCACTTCTGACTGCTGTGTAGCATGGAATGCACTTCCCTTTCATTCTTAATGCCCTAATAAGGACAACGATGCTGCCTCTGAACTGCCGACTCCCTGTGCGGTGATTTCAAAGCAGGCCAACATGGGCGCTAATGCATGTGCCTCACACCAAAGAAAGCCATCGATACTGTTGTTACCAGTGCATGCTGTGTAGCAGCTGCTGGGTGGCATGTGGGCCAGCAGGTGCAATGGGAGGTAAATGCTTTGGCCACAGCCTGCATGGTTTGTTCTGGAGAAATAAAATGCTTCTGTTTTTATGCTGCTTACATTGTGGTCTCTTTGTGCCTTTTTATTCTTGGTTTTGTTTTTTTGCTATTTGTCGTCTGTTTGGGGTTTGGCCGCATGATGTAGCTCTGCCACTTAACCTGCCGTTTCCCCGGCCTGGTGCATCTGTCGAGCTGGGAGATTACAGGGGGAGTCAGTATAGCGGAGATGGGAGGGGGAACGATGTTGGACAGTGAGAGCAGTAGATGTTTACATTTGTGTGTGGCTTCTATCTATCCTTCCACAAACACTCATGTTAGCAGCCCTATGAACCCCACGCATGTTCCCCAAACCCATACAAAATGGTCACAGTGAGTATGTTCTGATTTTAAGCTGCGTAGAAGTTAGAATTGTAATCCGGCAAGGCCAGTATTATTTTGTGTGGCTTTCACTGTCAAGGGGTCCTGGCTGACAAGGATCAACTCATCTCTCCCCTCCCTAAATTTGGGTTTTCCTGCCTGTCATCTTGATTTTAGCGGATCTGTTCTCCAGAGTTCCACTGCTGCCCTCAGCCAAGTTGTGGTAGTGAGCGTTTGGCTGGAGATCTGGTACAAATCCTGCTGTATCTAGGTGCCTGATACCAATGTGGCTGGGGGCTCAGAC